CAAACAATTACCATTGTGGGCTGGCAAACAGAACATCCCAGACACCTGAATTGGCTTGAGATTCCACCGCTGGACTTATGAGTGTTTAACAAGCAGGTTTAGGACCAAACTAAACCGTCTACAGGGATTTAACAGCTCAATCTCATAGTGAGCTGGATGCAGTCTTTATAATTAATACAACGCCATGCATGATTACGCAGCTATGGCATGCAGTGAGCCATAAAGTATTGCCACGATGGGATCAACGAAATGGACCGTGGGGCAAATCACACTAGCTATGTTGTATGTGACAGCATCTCTACGATGACACAGTCGATAGAGGGTTAAAAGAAGAGCGATGGGGGGGGGGGTTGATTGCATATGCGAAACAAGTACGCACTTTCGTCGTCAGCACATTTATGCTGCGCCGCCTTATAATCTGACACCCGTGAGGGTCCAACGAAGTGACCACGTTCTTGGTAGGTGCAACATGATGGCACGCGGCTGATTTGTGTACGGCACAAAGTACTCAGATAGGAACGTATTGCAAACCTGTCAATCACATTGTTGGATTCCCAAATGAGCTTTCGAACCCACAACTAGAACCTGACATTCTTTAACATACGACTCGAGTATGTTCCTCACAAGTTACGCAATTCGATAGCATAGCATCACCCCAGAAGCTTCAATTTAGGTAAATGAGAATTTAGGTAAGTGCTCCATTACACGGAATTCTTGATGTTTAGACGAAATTAACCGGAGGAAACGAACTGTTCGCCTAGTCTCCTTATTCATACGAATAGTAATCAAAATAAACATGCCTGTGTGAATTGTGATTGTGGACAGCATATCAACTGTAATGTACAACATCGGCGATTCCGATCACTGCAGCGGTGTAACCTCTAAAGTTGCGCTACAATCCTGAATCAAAAACACTGCATAAGTGTTTCGGCAGGTGTACGTTCCTGACCAGTGGTGAAACTGATGCCACATTTATCAAACTTCAGTTAAGCTAACGGTTTAACGAATTTGCACTTGTACTCGACCAATCAACGACCGCCTACATTACTTTCGTAATGATCATTAACAGCTTTCGGGTATGGCAGTTCGGTAATCCATGACGATCAGTAGCCTGTCGGCCTTGTGCCATAGACAGAAAAAGGGTTATTGAATGCATTCTGTGCTTCAGCAAAAGTAGTTGCATGTGATTGCGCGCAAATAAAGATGGCTTGCTCAACCGCATGTGGGAAGATGTGTGACGACTACCTGCGCTATCAGTGGCGTGAACACCACTGACACTGTCATACCGACGTACACAGGCATCGATCGGGATTACTGCATACTAGCAAAATCGTCCCAAAGATCCAAGAGCAGGTCCAGTTCCATGACCTCATACTCTCGGTCCCAAACAAGTGGCTCGCTTTTGCTGGCTCCACAATTCCTGTGCGAATGCATGCAGATACTGCACCGAGTCATTCGGACTAGACATATGAGAAGTAACGACTCGTGTAGAAATTTGAAGGTCGGTGAATTAGGAAAATGTGTTAAGGTGGGTACAATCAATCGTCTCTCTTCTCGTCGGGAGTTGCTGCACGATAACCGGTGCGGAAGAATGGGGCTATACACACACTGATTGCAGTCAACCTCGTCATGATCTACCGTAGTTTACATCTTGCTGGTTTTACTATACTGAGGCCGCTTTTCCACCTTCGAACACGTTGCAGCACGCGCGGACATCGGTACAAGCTTATTTAGCCAGTCCTGGAGCGAAATCCCCACTCGTATGCTCCGAACGGAAAGCGGGAAAGGCTAAGAACCGTCAGTTTGCCTGCACCCTAAGGGTGGCGAGCTTGTCTTATAATCTGATGGAGCGGGTTCGAGCCTGCGTAGGGGCAGGACGACCCTAGCAGTATCCCAGCCCAAATGCGACTGGTGGTGGTTGTGCCGCAGCGAGGCGTCGGTACTGCGTAACGGCGTACTGCTGATGTCTCTTTTTTCTTTCTTTCTTAACCCTTTGAGGCACGTAAAGAAGCGCACATCAGGTGATGAGAAAACACAAACACTTTCCGGTCGTTACAAAATGATGGTTTGGAGCACACAGACAATATAACTGACCGTTTCCGGTGTCCTAGGACCTGTTGGGCTTGTTTCAAATCATTTCCCCATCATTCTGTGGGTAAATAAAATACGGGCGTGCATTTTAATGTGTGGGACATATTGGTCCCGTGCGCCTTAAAGGGCTAAGAACCGTCTGCCAGAGCCCGTATTAGAAACACATTGGGTGCAGTCATTCAAAACACTGTTGGCCTTACATCCCTCTACCTTGAAGTTCAAAGAACGATTGCCCGTTAACTATGATATCACACTGCGGGTGCCATGTTATTGCGAGCCATTTTTCGCTACCACATGAGAACTTGGGGACGATTCGAATTTTGACAGATCACAGATAGTTCCTAGTTCAGCGTCTTGATCATGTGTACCTTATAATATAGTATTCGGACTCACTGTGTGTTGTGTGTTGCTGGTCCAGACACATGGTGAAAAATGTGTGTTCGCAAGACGTTTTCACATCAAATCCGATGGTTGCAGTTAGAATTCGAGCAACCAATTTGAAATGAGCAGTCGCATACAGGAGTTCCACCCAATATACCGAGAAAAATCGCACAGAAATAAGTGATGATCGTTGGCAACTGGTCACATTTTGACATTGGGTAACGGGACCCATGAGGGTCAGGTTATGAACTATGTCCAGTGGGTTACTTGAGGCAGAGAAAGAGAGAAATGGTGTACAGCCATGCGACAGCGTTGTGCCAGATTCAGTGTGTGCCGTGATGTGAACCGGCAGTAGGACATTGAAGAAAAGGCAATATTCAGCCGTTGCAAGCAAAATGATGCCAAGTTGATCAGATGCAGTGTTGTGAAGTGTTCAATGGTGAGAATTGGACCCAAACGCATTGGGCGAGTAGTCCAGACAGCTGAAAAGGAAAGACGAACGTGCCCACCTAACTCACCGGATGACACACAGGAACGCAGTTTTAGTCGACCAATGCCAAGATTAATCCGCGAATAATATAAAGAAGGGATTCGATGATGCTGTTGGGTTTTCATAGCGCAGTGGAAGACAGCTGTCTGTCTCTGGGTGTTGCTTATGTGATAACCATAGGCCAGAGGAGTACGCATGCCGAGAACGAGTCGTTCCTGTAGACGAAAAGACAGTGGAAGAAGACCACGGGACTTAGTCGGAACCAGTATCCCCGCAGGTAAAGATTACGTCCTTAATACTTCAGTATATGCCCAATGGCTCCGCACATCAAGAAGAGGCACCTAAGTATAAAAAACCGACAGTGAGACTACCACCGGGTGTGTGTGTGGACCACCTCATCCGCAAAAAGGACCGAGTAGCAGATCAAAGGGAAATTGATAGTTCAGCTGTTAACACTAGGGGCCCCGGTGCCATTTGACCACCGGCAGTCGAGTGTGGGCTATAGATACTGTGACATCGCCGCACCTACGTATGTCAGGACCGACCACTCATGGCTCACAAGCCAGGCGCCTGAGCCACTCGGCCGCATGCAGCGCTGTTCGACAAAAATGGACCCACTCTGGCTGAGAACTAGCCGGCTTGCCCAATGGAATGGTGTATGGAACATACCAGTTGGGGGAGTAGCTGGCCGCAGAGAACTGGTGAGAACGATGTAAGCACATCTTCACAAGAGAGATGGAAGAAGTGAATGATGCAAGTGTAGTCCCCCAAATTCACGTTGCGCGTCCTCCATCAAACAAGATATCTCGTTGAGGCGGCTGAGAAGGGACGAACGGTTCCCGCTCTTGATGATGCCAACAATGATTAGACCACTGTAACATTGACCCAAAATCATACACCTGAATTCGACCGTGACTACTTTCCATGCATCTTCCTCGATAGTTAGTTAAACCATTTTCACTTCATACTGTAAGATTAGCAAATCAAAATGGACACCGTTTATTCTATGCAGAAAATCAGAGACCTGTTAGCAAGGAGACTGGATGATGTTCAGGCTACACTGCGGTAAGGCAAACAGCGGACGCCAGTGCAAGCCTTTCTCTCGATCCTGAGCTTCGTTCCGCTCGATCAAAGACAGTGACCCAGTGTTCCTTTGTCTCCCTATCAGCCTTCGCGTATTTCTGTATGTGTATGTGCGAACCTGCGCAGTTGCGCGACTATAAGAACAGTATAAGCTGTTATGACTCCACCAAACTTTGCCTAACTTCATTAGCCTACTGCTGCATGAACTGACCAAAGTAAGCGACGAACGACGAGAAAACATATCTCCGACGCAGTGACGGTGCAAACGAAGGCAATAGATGCAGAAAAAGACCCTTACCGAGCTTGTGTTTATTGACGGTGAAATCACTCACGAAGTTGCTGAAGTCGCTGATGTTAACGAGGGCATGGCAAGAAACATCAACAATGCCTACAGGTGAGAAGGTATCATTATATAACGCAACGGTACAGAAAACAAAAGTATGTGACTGACTCCAAATGTTTTACAGCGGTCTTGTTATACACACACACACACACGATACGCGAAGACCGATAGGTAGACAAGGGAAAACTTGGTCACTGTTTTTGTTCGAGGGGAACGACGCGCATAAGCGGGAGAAAAGCTTGTACCAGCATCCGCTGCTTGCCTGACGGCAGTGTAGCCTGAACATTAGCCAGTCGCCTTGCTAACAGATTGTTGCATAGATTAAACGGTGTCCAGTTTGATTTGCAAACCGTGCAGTATAAAGCTAAAGTGGTAATATGTACTCTTGTTGATTGAAGCGGATACATGTCTGTATGCTTATCTAGCATTCCTTCCTGTTCGTCCGAGGAACTAAAAATGAAGGTTGTAATTTAGTTCAAAGTAACACATTACCTCTCCTCTGCAGTCTTCGGGAACAGCCACATCTGCTTGGGTGTAAGTTGTACACTGCACTGTTTAGTTCCAAACGCTATGCTACGAACACCCTCCACTATACACAAAGACAAAAGAGTAGACAGCTGATGTGGTTTTATCGGGGGCGGGACAAAAGGCATACGGGGATGGGGAAATACCATAGGGATAGCACAACCGTCAACCGTCCATGTGTGAAGCGTTTCCCATATGACAGAAACACCGGAGATAAGGTGATTCGGGAGCACCCAACGGACCAGCACAAGTGGAAGAAGATGAGGGTGTGTGAGACCGATACACGATATCAGAAGTCAAAAATAAGGCATATAAAGAAAACAAATCAATGAGAGCGATTGTGATCTGCTTGAAGAAGGGAGATGATTCCGCGCCAGACAAGCTCCGATGGGTACCTACGGGCATGAGAAGGAGAAGAGAATCGTCCGGCGTCAGATCGGAAACATCTGCGATCAGCCGGGATTAGAATGGACGGACTAAAGATATCGAACAGTAACGGCAACGTCTCGAAAGGCGAGGTAGATAGAGGATTGTGAAGGCATCAGAAGCGTTTGAAAAACGGTCTGGGGCGATACTCCAAAGTATAGCGTTCCTCATCGCTGGCTTCGGACGGATTCCGTTGTCTCGTTGAACTGTCTGCTTCAGCCTCTGACGATTTCGAATTGCGATACTCATGGGATGCGGGGAATGTGACTAAACCTCGTTCCAACGACTTATCGAACAGCGACTCAATTTGTCTGGCATTTCCCAAATCACCCACGGCGAGACCATCTGGTGCGGATTCTTCACCAACTAGTCGATGATTAGTTGAAGCAGGCGCTGAAGTTCCTAGAGTCCCATCCACGTGACTAGAAGAGGCAAAAGCAGCTGCAAATGTACTCGTAAACTGATCGTTCGAAGTATCGGCCAAATTCTGTTGAGCTAAACCAGCAGCCAAGCGTTCGTGGGGCCATCTGGGGCGGCGCCTGCGTGACTGTCGTTCCAAAGTTAGCACTGGCATTCGGACCAGTTCGAGCGGACTTTTGGAATCGCGTAAAGCGGCGACAAGATTCACAACCTAGGAACGTGAGGGAAGATTGGTGGACAAAAAGTCAGAAGGCGAAACAGGAGGTCAAATGAGAAATCCACCACGGCGATGAAGTAACGCGCCGCGGTTGGAACTTTTCAAATGTACAGCACGGATCTGAACCGCACTCATAACTGCCTTGTCTAGGAAGCGGAAAAGCGACGCGGCCTGAAGAGAAAAGCTCTGAGTACACAGAAGGTAACATCAATAGTTTAGGATGTCAACAGCAAAACGTTTCATCGTTGAACTCACTTGGCCACGCAAAACAGACATTTGTTTCTCGAAGGTGGAGTGATCGAACCCAGGGTCCTCCTGTTCAAAATGGAAAGCGTTGGTTGAAAAGTGGCGAAATTTACTAAAATGACCGACAAGCAATCAGGAAGCATGGGCCTTAATAAAGTCAACAACAGAGACAGTTGGCAGGACACTGGGGGGTCGACAAAATGATTGACGGTCACCGTGGATGCGAATAAACGTGTTTTAAGTGATTATGGCGAGTAGAAGTGAAGTATGAACGACAATATTTCACATGTGGGGAACCATCTAACAGGCCCACTTGTGGAGGAAATTGACCCAGATGCATTAAAGTAACGGGCTATCTAAAGAGGCATTTTGATCCCGCACACCGACAGCCGTAGAACGTTCCTGTCGCGTCTCGAAGATAGAACTGAGGAAAAAATCCGAAAATCAGCAAGTCCTATTGAATATTACTTTATCGGCTTCCCACGAAACATATAAAACCTCGAACAGGACAGTGTCAGGCATGAGATAACATAACAGCGACGATAAAGTTGTCGGTCAGTCGCAAGCTGAGGGCATGCGTAATACACAGATCGATTACGCGAACACCACTGAAGAGTAAAGATCGAGAAATACAACCATCACTGCAGTATATACACAATGTGAACACAAAAAGTGCGCCGAAATCGAGACTGTGAGACCACGGTGAACGCACTTTGAGCTTTTGGTATCGGCGGTGGGGTGGGGACTGGAGTCAGTGTGCACAGTTTAGGCCGGAAACATGCAGCACTGAGCCGCGCATGAATGCTCGTGTGATTTGTAGTTGTAAAGCTAGCCCGATTGAATATGACACCAGCAGTTTTGGATAAGTATTACTCTAGAAAAAATGTGTGTTAAGCCAAGTGTACAGAAAAGGAGATGGGAATCAAATAAAGCATGCTTCCGAGTATTTCGGATAGATGGTGCCTTTCGTCGATGTGAACAGCCGGCAGGAAAACACGCACACAGATTATGCAGATACGATCTAAAACAATGGTTGTCAACCATTTTGGGGTCGTTACCCACAGAGCGGGTTCACTATAAACAATCACCCCCAAAAACATTATAATTTAAAAATCTAATTACCTAAGACCTATTGCGTTTTCGCTTTAAACCAGGGAAAATAAATATTACTTTTTAATTATTTTTATCATCCCAATGAAAAAACACCAGTTGCTGAGTAATTTTTATTGAATCATGGGGTGATGTACGTTAATGAGACGGTTGATATTGCTTAGCCCCAACAATTTCTGGTATAATTGGTGCGGCTTCGGCTAATGCACATTGTAAGCCGTGTTCCAAGTTCATTCAGTTCCTTGCTTTGGTGTGTGTGATCCCTAATCAACCGTGAATAGATGCCAGTGGCTTCTCATCTATCGCGGCCATCCCTTGCAAGTCCGGTCTGGATGATAGGTTTCCAACACCACGCTGTATCAATACATCCTGTACAATAATCGCCTAATTTGTCTCTTCTACCTTGTAAACACTAGTTTAGCTGGTCGATTGACCTATGCACCAACCTTAGTGTTCCTACAACTCCGTAATTAGACTCGGCGAACGACTGCCTGGCTCAAAAGAACAACGATCGACGAACGAAACGAGAGAGGCGCCATCTAGCTGCGCAGTTTTGTAGACTCGTATTCATATTTTAGGTAATAAAAGTGATTTCCGAAATTGTCTAATGTACTAATGATTATGCATTGATGGCTAATCAATAGTGATTAGGTAGTTAGTTACTTGGTTTGATACAGATGGTTTTGTTATTAATTTTGGTTGGCGACAGATCGATGTCCTAATCGTCGTATTTATATTTACCCCAGTAAAATTTCATTTTACTCCCTTGGGGGTAATTACCCACAGGTTGAGAAGCACTTGTCTAAAGCAAGCACAAGCAAGCTAAAGAGTCATATTGAAGTACACGTTATGTGATTGGATTGCGACGCGTAATCTCAATGTAGACCGTGATTCGATTGAAGTGAACCTTGGTCAATTCGATCACTAGAACCGTTGCTGATGAAACAGAAGGCAGTGTTTTCGGGCGGGCAACACCAAATTACCTTCTGCTACACAACCAAGTTGTTTTCTCATTGGATCATCTTCAGACCAACGGGATAAATGGGAGAAATGGTGTGGCAGCACGTAAAAGGCTGCACTGGCGCACGCAGTACCAGCATCTTGCCGGGTACCCTTAAATGGGACCAACTGAATGTAAAGTGAATACCTCCGAAAGTGTGTGTTGATAGGTTTCAACTGAGTGTATGTCAGTAGGCCTTAATACTGGGCACACATCCGCCGAAGTCAAACAGATGAACACAGATATGATTGTTAAAAGTGTTTTGTTAATCCGAATAATACAATTGTGAAAGTACTACGATAAACTACTTAGAGAAGAGCCGTGATATGCGAAACCCGTGAGGATGGGACACCAGAAGGTCACGCCAGTACGATCGGCGGAGACAGAAGTGCGAGTGGGTGGATAGTTGAATGACGCCGATGATACTAAGAACGATAATCGGAAACGATGCGCAGATTACAGAGGCTGCCAGTGACATAAGCGAACGCGTCACTCCTTGACATGGGTACGAAACGAGCGACTACTACACTCCGGGAGTTCTTTCCCGTAACACACCCCAATTGTTCATTTCAATTGGATAAGAGTTAGACGAAAACAATTACATGGACAGTCAGTTGCGTCACAGGCCACAACAGGCGTGTAGTGATGCCCCAGAAAAGAAGACAGAGTCATCTTGATAGAAATCGAAGTAACTGGTCCCCAGTGAAGTTCTCGGTAAAGTCAACACAATGGCGTCAAACGATTTGCGTCTGGAAAACCTCAGTGTGTGTGGTTGATGGATCGCAGGTATGCATCTAGGACCATGAACAGTCGGTACAGTTAAGGAACAAATATCCAAAAACCTACGCAACGTACATATACACATGCCAACGCTGTTATCTGTTGACAGTAATAAATGTGTCATTTAGCACAGACAGAGGTCAGTTGGACTGACAGACACCGCCTCAGCGTGCCAGGAAACACTGGTGATACGCGCGTGAGACATCCACGCATTGTATGTCTATCGGCAGGTGGCGGGCGAATAACGGGAGTCGTGGAACTGACCGAGACTGAAGCGTGTTATGCGACACTTACCAAAGCAATCACGACCCTCAGCTAACACCATGACGTACCTAGTATAGGATGCGTGAGCAACAGCAGGAGTTTCACTGAAGCAGGAAAGAAATGCCCATTGTTGTGTGCAGTAGGACCGTTTACATAGATTAAACGTCGTTGGGACGCTTTGCAACAGTCATCACACATTCAGGACAGGGACAGGGTTGCACTGAATCTCAGAACGATGGATATCATTTTAATGTTAACTACACGATGTCTCGGTCAAGTTGGCCCTTTAGCTAACGAATTGAGCTCAACAGCAGAGTTGCGTTGCGAAGCATACACCTTACACCATTACTCGACAGATTAGAGTCGGACGTCAGACGCCCACTCGCGCAGGTGTGTAGCTGCCGCGATGGTCACGCACCTTCAGCCAATAGGGCGTCAGAAGCACATAGTGAGACGCTTCAACCTGAACGTGCTCTTGTCCACCTTGTTACAAGGTCGGTTGTTGATACACCATGTGCAGCTATGTTTCTCTCTCTCTCCAAAGATGCGAATCCCGTCAATTAAGACGAGAGCAAACATTTCTGCCCAAAGCACAGACGATTGGGGGGGGGGCGGATAAGGAGCCTCAGTCATAGAACTACGCGGAGTGATTGTGAACGTGCAGTTCACTTAAACGCATTGCTGCGTTGAGGATCGTATACGCGTCACTCGACAGAGGTGAAGAACATAATACTGGGAACGTACGCGGAAGAAGACGATTGAACGCAGGTTACTAATGCACTAAATGTGAACGTGAAAACTTGCCGTAGTTGGGTACGGGTGTACGAATCCACCGGACTGATCGGGTAGCTCGGGACAACCCGTCGCATAGCAATGAGAGAAAGCCATCTCAACTCTCTGGTGGAATGTGTTTCTGCGGAGCCAACCGTTATCCCTGAACTCGTTCGTTCGCAATTGCAGTAAGCATCAGCGCCGTCTCAAGGTACTTAAGCGGTAGGCTGCTAACGATGAAGAGCCTGCACACCATTCCGGAGTCCATGCACACACTAGAGAACAAAAAGCGACGCAGTTCGTTCGTCTTGCAGCTCATGGATTACGAGAAGGAAGGAATGCAACCGGTGTGGATTGATGCAACTGATTTTGAACCCGCACTCGTGACCAGTCGAGCGCAGTGCACGTTGGCGAACAGCCAGGGATCGAACGTTTAACTTGTCAGCGCCATGACAAACAACGACGTGATAGCATGTTCACTAGCTGCGACAAGTGCTTGGTACCAACGGAACAACATTTGTGGAATGTTGCCTTTTAATTCAGGACAACGCAACCTGGAGCACATTTTCCGGGAAGAACCGTACCGCCCTGGAGGACTTCCACGCCTTGCGCCATACTTTTCAGCACTGAAGCTCATCGAGGGCGTCTGGTGCCCATTCAAAGATCAAGCAATGAGGAGAAGGCATTTCGAATTGACCCAGTTTTTAGTAAAAGCAAGTGGCGGATTCGTTTGTTGGAGCACGCGGTATCGGAAGCACGGGCCTTAGTGACACAGCAGCACTGCAAACAAATGGTACAGTATATCAGAAAGAACTAGATACGTGTTTTTCGTTTAGCTAATCAGTAAAACATTCCGCTGACAGTAAGCTACCTGTTTGTGAACGTGTGCTATTCATACTTTATTGTGATGTTGTATTATAGTGCACTTGCATGACCACACTGTAGGTGTCACTTCCGGTAGTATATCAACGCACCTAATGACTTCTATTTTTAGCATATTTCACTACCTGATATTTTTGTGCTACTGTGACGGAAATAGACCCAGACTACACCTAGCGATCGTGTTCTTATTCCATGCCAATCACCTATGGAGGCCAATTTACTTTGCGTGAACAGGACACGTCAATCGTTCCAGTCTGGACCG